ATTGCTAATAAATGCGCGGGCGTAGGAACCAGGAATCTTGTAATTTGACTGGCATGAAAATGTTCCTCTTAATCCAATGCTATGACTCCTATTTGATTAGTAATACCACATTTTGTAATAATAGTATGTTATGTAGGAAAATTGTTCTATACACAAATGGCATTTATTGAGTTATTCAATTTGACTTAAATAATGCTGGTAAGCAGCGATGTTATAACAGTTACCATGCTAAACGCTCCATGCTTGTGCCGCGATTGGTGCTTATCCCTCCTTTAGTAGGCCACATTTGTTGATTGTTCAATTCGTACATCACATTTGTTCCCGGTTTGATATCAAAATTCTCTTTACTTGACCACTTTTGTTGTTTCCTTAATCCAGGAATCGTCGTACGTGCATGGTACACCGCATCTATTCTTGGATTATGAGTGTTCGCGTATGGCCATTGTTGCTTCTTGCTCATCCCCATCACATTCGCTTCATTCACGTTGATGTTACTGGTGTCTCGCGACTGCTGATTCCTCATTGTGGACATCAATGTTGCTGCCCAGTTTCTGCTGCTTGGCCATGTTCGTTGACGCTCCATTGCGTACATCGCATTTCTACGGTTTATATTGATGTTTCTATCAGTTGACCACAGTTGCTTGTTGTTCCTTCTCATCACCGTTTCATTCGCGTTAGCTTTCACGCTGCCTAGCCATATCTGCTTATTATTCACCCCATGCATCGCGTGCATTCGTTTGTTCATTCCCTTAATTGACCACATTCGCTGATTGCCGATCCCATCCCATGCCCAATTTGTTCCAGGATTTCGGTTGGTATTCCTATATCTTGACGTTAAGCCCTGTTTGCCATCAGCCTGTATATCCTCCAATGGACATATGCCTAGAAAAATATAATCATCTAGCTTCTCACTAATGTATTCAACCAATGCAGACCTGTGTGTAAGCAAATCCAGTTCAAATGTTTGCGTACATCCGTAAAGAAGTTCTCCCCATCTGCGTAAAATTCATTAATAGAAAAATGAATTGACTTTCTAAGCATTGTGGTCCTCTAGTTCAGACTTTTTTCTAACGAGCATTCACTTTTTTAAACTGCAAAGCATGCAGTGGCGATGCAGTTCTGTATCGGGCAAAAATGAATTATTGTCGGCTTTTAAAGATCCGTTAGGCGGATTTGATGGACGATTGATTCTGCCACTCGCATGTGCCATTGCATACCTCGCGCGCGCACCCAGGAAAAATGTTTCGCCCATCCGAGATAAGGGTTTTTGGAGCAGTCTGCATTTTTTCGGCCCCGTCATTCGTATATGAAATCATTAAAACAAAGTTTAAAATATTTCCAATCTCAGTGTAACTTATGACTATATTAGTTTACCTGAACGAAAGAGTAAACTATACTTGGGTTTTTCTATAATTCCCAGGAGTGGTAAGTGAAGATAATATAAAGAAAGTACTTCAGTCCAAGTAGGTCTGCCATCCAGTTGGTGTAATTCTTCAGGTTGAGTGGAGGCAGTGGGCATGTGCACAGCGAGCGACAAATCTACTCGACTGTACGTAGACGAGTGGTCTGCTGTGCCAGTTGACATAAATGCCCTAAATTTGATGGGCAGAGCATTGCGTTGGGTTACGTACCTTCGATCCCGCCCTGGAGATGTGGGAATCTGACGATATTTTCTTTGTCTTTAATATTTTTGTGAGAGGTGACTTCATCATCTTAGACTGGAGAACCGTTGGCTTGTCCCTTTCTATTTTCTTTCACTAGATCTGTGATTGTATTGATTTGCATCACCTTATGTGCTGATAGATTTGTCACGGTCCCGCTCCCATGGTTTAACATGACATATGAATAGGATTGACAAAGAGGAAGAAAATAATTAGTATATATCCTACGCTGGATTGACAATTAGATTTCGAGTTTGACTAAAGTTGAAATGAAAGAAAGTTTGTTCTGACTTTTTTCTCTGCGTATGCCTTTGGCGAGACTCTTCAGGCCGATGGGGTCTAAACCACGAACTTGTTCACATCAGCTACAAAGGATAAAAGCCTTTTTGGCATTTGTACAAGTTGAAGCTTGTATTACTACCGAAAATATCAGAGTAGTTGAATAATTCACCCTTTGCCCTTTACATTTTGGCAGGGAATGGCAAACCTACGTGACGGCCAGTTACTCATCAATAGGCGAAATCAAAGCAAAAGGCCGTACGAAAATAATTGATATTATTGTTATGCTTTTTGCTGCTTGGGATATGTTTGAAATTCGAAATCGGTGGGCTTGCCATTCTCGGTACATGAGCATCTTTGTTTATGTGGCTCTCCCGTAACTGTTAAAATGAGGTTTTTCAATGTGAGTGAAAAATGATTGCAAAAAAATGGTGCACCAAAATCTTCTTCTGTGCATTCTGCCACTCCGCCTGAAACTACGCCAACTGCTGTGAATTGTAATCGGTCGTTATATTGGAAAAGTGGGCCTCCGCTGTCACCCTGCAAAAAGAACAGAAATATCTGTGGGCGGTAAAGATGAGGAAGGATGAAAGAAAGAAAGGGGCTGAGACAGGAAGGGAGGGAGGAGGAGGGGAAAGGAGAGAATGGAAGAGATAGAGAACTGAGCGGTTATCACTTGGGTCCATGTTATTGTAAGTATCCTTATGCTAATGTTGTCAATCAGTGTTTTGGAAAGCTTTATCAAGAAAATGAAGTTAATGCTCAGCTCCAGCATGACTCTATGAAGGTGCGATTTTATCAAATGATTGGTGAAATTTATCATACGACTTCAAACGGTTCATCAATAATGTTGCGATAATCCCCTCCCTCCACTCCCGAGATCAGAATCGAGAATTTTTTTGATCTTGAGACAATATTTCAAATAGTTTGGCTAGGGGTATGACTTAACTCTTCCCTTAGTGACGCTTTTTTTTTGTTTGCTTTCGCGTCTCTCAAAACTTGTGCAACCGCTAGTGCGAAGTAAAGTAGTGCGTGCAGTAGATTGCATTGTGGCGAACTCTCACCTCTAACATTCTGCTGTGATCTGCAAACTTTCTCTAACAAACTAACGTTAAAGGATCCCTTTAAAACGTGTGCAATGATGCTATTGAATGGAACATTCTTGAGGCTAACCGAATGGCTCTACATGCTAAAGAGCTTGTGACCGCAGCGCCTACATGCGCAACTACTCTTACTTTGAAACACTGTGATTTTTATGTTATTTTTGGAATATTTTTTCGTACTATCTGCTGAAAGCTCATAAAAGTTTGTAAGTTTTATACTTCAAGGTTTGCTTGCGTCCTATCTATGCCTCAGCATCAATCCTAAAATCTCCCTTTTTGGAGATCGTGCGTCCTTTGAATCCATGTAAAATAGGAAATCTTGCTTCGCCGCCTGAAAAGTATGTGAAAAAGTATGTGATGACTCCTTCAGCGTCCAAGCACTGCTTAAGGTACCTCTGAAATGGAGGTTAAGACTGCGAGGTCCTCCACGTCAATGTGTTCAAGATTCACTTAGCTACAACTTAAATTCATATCACAACCATCAGCTTTAATGTTATGCGAGCACTCTACAGAAATCACTGCAAGTAAATCGCAAGACCTGCGTTATACCACCGTACATTTTTGACCACTTTCAGATTTTAAAAAAGTCTATGTTCCCTCATAATTACCTGCTTATTGTGTTTACCTTTTGTCCAAATCGCCTAGCAGGGCATTCTCTATGACTCGCCTTTGCCAAACCGTCCTCACCCCACCTCCCTCTTCTCTCTATTAAGCTTTCCAGCGGTAATTGCTTGCAACCGCTAACGTTCAAAACCCCCAACAAATTATGGGTTAAATATTTCAGAAATGAAACCGTACTCTTTACCCCGCATACTGCTGCTGTCCCGGCGCCGGTGGTTATAGTGTAATCGTCATCTTCTGATTTGAGTGGGAGTTTTACCACCTGCAGTCCGCGGGCGTACGGATCATTGGTGATATTGGCTGAAAGACATTTACGATTCTTCTTGTAAGAAATCTCTTAATCTTGATAGTCTCTTTTCAATTCAAGTAACTAATCGTGCTATTTCAACAAACTATATTTTTTTGTAGCTTCTCATTTAGAGTGTGGCTATGTGTTATAGATTTACCAATGTAGCATTGTTAGAATGAGCTGATCCGCTGTTAATCGGTATGAAATGGTTAAGACATACGGTCCATTCCTGAACCAGCTGATAATAGAAGTTTTGCTAGCTTCAGGTTCCTTTCCGGCATGCAAACAGGTGATGAACGGGAAGGTGGCAAATCATTCTTTACTTCTACTATGGCCAAATCGTGAGAAAAATTGCATGGATCCCAATCCGAATGAACCGTGATCTGGTAAAGTGAAGTCGCAAAATTTTCGCCTCAAGAAAATAGATTTTTGTGCGTACCTTTGAAACTACATGTGCATCCATACAATTTTCGGGAAGAGAGCACATTGTTCCGACATAGAGAGTGATGTTTTGAGCAGGAAGGGGAGGGGTTTGAAAGCTGTTGAGAAGAATAGAATGAGACTTTGTGTTAAGGAAGAAGAAGTTGTCTTACTTCTTATGGTTTTCTGGTAGTGCGCACTTTGTTTCGAGCTCTTCCATTGAAATATGGGCACTGACGCAATGCGCTGCCGTTAGGATATGACGAGAAGAAATTTGCGTCCCCCCACATAGCATTCTGTCCTCACCTGGATCAACTTCAACAATTTTTCATAATAGTTTTTGAGATGTGGTACCTTTTGTCAACACGATCTTGGCCAGCCATGGGTATTCATCAGGACTGACTTGCTTTCCGCCATAGGATTTGAATAGGTTTTTCTTGTCTGTGTGTTCAACAGCTTATCTCGAGTGATAGAGAGAAAGTTTACAACTAACCAGCTGGTCTAGTTCGAAGTACAAACTACTGGCATACCCTGGTTAGTTCAAAGTCAAATTTTCAGTTTGTTCACTGCGCCACTAGCATCGTTCACATCAGTAGGGATCTCGTTCACCTTTCTTCTCTCTCCCTTCCCCAATGAAAAGTATGGAGAGATTCAACATACTTTGCAGAA